CCTAGACAAACCGAGTAACCAGCTCAGAGTGAGTCGCCAACTACTTCGTCTCTTCAGGCTTATCCTCATCAGGGGAAGCCATAGTCTGCAACATCTCCACCAGGTCCCCGGAAGCCTTCAGCTTAGAGGCCATATTGTCCCTCTTCAGAGCCACCTCCTCGCGACCTTCGCGGGAAACATCCCCAAGCTCCTTTTCCCTCTCCTCCTGAAGTTTCTTTACCTTCTCCTCCAAGGCCGTCACTAGAGCCTGGGATCTCTTCAACTCTAGCTCCAGCGGAGAGCCCTCCTCAGTATACACCACAACCATTTCTAGGACCCTCATTAAAGTAAAGGCATCTCGGGCAAGAATGGTCTGTTTGTTGGGACAGTCCATTTCCTCGAGCTTTAGAGATTTTGCCAGAGGAATGGACAAAAGACCCCTCGAAGAATTTCCTATTGTGAAAGTATGGGGGCTACTCGTACTTGCATTTGGTAGACTCCCAACTAAGGTCCACGACCTCGTTTGGACGGGCACGCTTGGGCCTCGAGCTCACGAGCAAAGGCGATGTCTGGGTGGACGAAAGAGTTGAAGATGATGTCCCCAACCCTGTCTGAGGGGGGACCGTTCACTAACCGAGACGAATCTTCCCTAGAGCAGCGCCACTCTTCATTTTCCCTTGGGCATGTTTCATCATCATTTCCTGCGCTGAAGCCATATTACCTGGAAAAATAACAAACACATAAGCACAGAGAAAGAAAACATCTAAGACAGAATAAGAGAAAACAAGAACTACCCAAGAGCTCAAGAGCCTCCTCGCGAGTATTGCACTCGAGGAGCTCTTTGGTGTTGATGTATCGGGCTTCCACCTACAGCCCACCGTCTTCCTCGTACAAAAGCTGCCCGCCGCGAGTCACGCACTAGGTAGGACAAAAACTATCTACAAAGGCCACCAGCTTAGCATAACTGGCATGATCATCCTCCACTAGATGGGGAGGGGCAACAGTGTACTCATCAGTCGAGCGAGTAAAGTGAGCCCCGCTCCAGTAGAAAAGAAAAGTAAATAGCCTCTGGGAAATTATATTGCCCTCCTCATCTATTAGGTCTTCCCCGTTCTCTCCCGTGGTGATCTCCCATACGAAAGTTGAATCGGTGTCCCTTTCCGACACCGATTCGATCATGTAGAATCTCTCCTTAAATGTCTGGATAGATTCAAAGAAGGGTTTGAACAACTTCCTCCCTTGCTTCAAAGAAATACAACCAAACTTTCGCCCCGACATCTACCGTTGAAGGTGGAAGATGGTGAAGAAAAGGGGAAGGCTGACCCCAATTTGTAGATGCTCGCACACCAGCTCGTATGCCCACATGAAGATGATGGATTTTGGATGCAGCTGAGAAGGCGTCAGGTCAAGGTGCATGAAGAAAGCACGCTGAAAGTCTGTAAAGGGCAATCTCAGCCCTATCTCTTTAAAAACATACTCGTAAATAGGAAATTGTTCCTCGTACGCAGAGCAAATCCGTTCATCTTCTGAAGGAAAATGAACCCTTTATTCTCCCTCCGGTCCCACCATGGTGAATGCGTCCCCGATGTACGAAGCAAAAAGAGATGCATGCTCTATTGGCTCGGCCACCGTCCACTCACCCATCGATGACATCGCAACAGACGTCTTCATGACCTTAGAAGACGAGGAATCATCGTCTGTCTCTGTATCCTCCGAAGAGTTATCCTTAGACAAATCTGTAAGATGCTCTTCTTCTTCGGCCCTGTGCGACATCTCTTTTACTTGAAAAGTAGAGGAAAATAGTAAATTCAATGACAAAATCAAATCCACCTTTCCACTGCTAGTCAAGTGAAAGAGCGCGGAAAGGGCCAAGGACAGAATCCTCGACCTAAGCCCTACTCAAATCGTGCAGCTAAACAAATGGTGAAGGTGCCCGACAGTTCTCCCTAACGCACCCGAGGATAGTCCCCAATCACAAAATCTAGTAGTCTCGCGGGTAAACCACCGGAATCCATGTCACAATCCACTTCTACTCCTAGAATAACCCAATTGCCTAAATCTAACCTCTTTGGGGGAAAGTTTACCTTTTTTCCCCTCTAACAGGGGAGGTTGACCTATTTACCCTTGGTCACATCACTTCTCCCAGTTAGTCTATGCTCGTCACGCACAGTTCCCCTCTAACAGGGGAGGTTGACCTATTTATCTTTGGTCACATCATTCTCCCAGTTAGTCTATGCTCGTCACGCACGGTTCCACCATCCAGAAATAGTCAAGACACTTGTGCCCGGGACTACGCCCCTATCTGTACCAACGACTAATTATGGGCACGTCTGCCCGTCCCAACGGCCATTTCTAGCAGTTACCTATTCTTCAAGAATCAGTTATCTCACCCCAAAAATAGGGACCAATGCCCAAACGCTGGGGGCATTATAAAAATTTTCTCATTTGAGAGGGTCAGGTATCCATTTTTTCACCTTGAAACACACATATTCTGTACTTGCTCACTATCTTGCTCACCCTGAAACACACATAAAAATCCTCTCATATGATTTAATTGAAATGCACTGACGGTGTAAAAGGATTTTACACTGTCAGTTAATTATAGACGTAGGATGTAAAAAGATGTTTGACTTTTGTTTTAATAACTTGTAAAGTAATGCAAATAGATGATGGTGATGAATTGACAGTGTAAAACTTTTTACACTCTCAGTGCATACTAATTAATCCTTATATATAAACGTATGAAAGCGTATGTGTTTACCTATAAACGTCTCAGGTCGACCTATTTGAGGCGACACAATCATAGGCAGTTGCTACAGGTTTTATTATTGAGGCATGAATGTCGAGCTAAGTGGGTTATGTATCGATCTATGGTGAAGCAAAAGCTTCTATAGGTCGACCTAAACATGTATGTGTCGACCTGTGCAGTGGTTTTCACACTAGAAACTCAATTTTTGATACATGAACCTTGCCTAAATCATTTCCAAATATGTTTATATGCACCTAATGCTAAGATGAACAATGCACATCTAGAATTTTGTTGATGCCGTTTAATGTACACAAATGCTAAAGTTTCTCCTAATTTTGACATCATTTAAAACATAACTAAACGGAAAGATGCACTCACATATGAATTGGATAAATCAAAGATAATATAACATTGTTTTAAATTATCCCATACCTCTTTGGTATTCTCGAATTGCCCAATATGTAGATGAATACTCGAAATGAAAGTATTCCAAAACTGAGTAATGATTTGATGATTTTTGTTGTCATAATCCTCTAATTTATCAGCATAAGTCTCTGAAATTTCACTGACACTTCTTGTCAGACACTTTTTAGCGCCTATCACGTATCCCCAAAGTCGACGACCTTTAAAAAGGGCTTTTATTACTTAAGTTTGTTGATTATAATTTGAGCCATCGAGAATTATGATAATTGGGCGAGTAATCTAAGATTTCTCCATTGTTGCACAATAAAGTGTATTCAAACATAAATTCATTTATACTAAATTATATTTTTATATTAAAATCAATTATATCAAACTCAATTTCTATCTAAATCAATAATTATTGTCACAAAATCACCCGCATACTAAGTATTTTGTTAAAAATGTTAGCCATGGAGAGAAATTGAATCACAATGAAATACCATCTAAACATTGTTTTATTTATTTTTTCAATTGACTAAGTTTTATGAATATAAGTTTCTTTTAACACTATATTTGAATTGATAAAATATGCTGGAATGAAGTAAAATTATGTTACATCTTTTGAATTGGTTAAAAAAAGAATGAAATCAAGTGAAATCTAATGGAATGCATTCCATCATTTTTTACAAAGTAATCAAAATTGGATCGAACATCAAATAAGTATATCTACGGGTCAAAATTTAAAATTAAATTAGAGTTGAACCCCAGTTGAGTCGGTTATAAATAAATAAATAATTTTTATTTTATAAGAATAATAATATACATAAATAACTATATTTTTAAAATGATATAAAAACATATTCATAATTTCATAATAGTTAACATTTAATAGTTATTTAATTTTTTTATAACTTTTATTGGTTTAAAATGTATATTTAATTATTTAAAAATATTTAAAACTTTCAATAAGCAAAATAACACCTAAAATATCCCAAAATTTCTTTTATTGTGTTAAAGAAAAACATATTTTACTCTAATAAAATAATTAATTTAAAATTTTCCATTTAAGTAAAATTTTGAAACTAAAAATAATAGATTATAGGCTAGATAAACTTAAGATTTTCATTTTAATATAATATATCATATTTATAATCTACTACGTATTGTATATTATTATATACAAAAAAATTTATTCATGAAAGTGAATACAAAATAATAAAAAATTAAAATATTGTTTTTTTCTTAATTTTTTTAATTTGATTTCTCTATGTTATTGTGTATCAAAGTAATTAGAGAATAAAGAATGAAATCAAATCAAACAACATTTCAATTCTATATATATATATATATATATATATATATATATATATATATATATATATATATATATATATATATATATATAATAAATTTGAATTTTTAAATTTTAAAATAAATATTAGAGATTATATGTAATTTTTTTCAATCTTAAAATTAATTAGAGTCTTTCGATTTCTAATTAAACTCATAGGTTCAGTTGGATATTGATTACCATAATTTTTGTACCCTCCAATCTAAAAAGAATGACGAAATTGTCTATTAAAAATGAAATCACACTTTTATTCAATTCTACATGAAATGATACATTATTCAATTTTACTCCGATTTATTTCATTATATTTTGTTCTATTATGTTTTTATTTATTTATAATATCCAATATAAAAATATAAATATTTGAACACAAGTATTAAAGAGAAAAAAAACCAAGAAAAAGGAGTGGTATGCATTTGGGCGCCCTAAAGAAATTCCGGAAACCTAGACACAACTGACTTTGTCATCATCTCACTATTCCTCTCTGCTCTCTCTTCTCTTCTTCGTTTTCCCTCTCCAATGGCCGCACCTCAAACCCTCTCTTCTTCCCTCTCCAAACCCTCCCCTCTATCTCCCCCTCTCAACCATACCCGTTTCTTCCCCAAACCCACTCTCCCCTGCATCCCCAACAACACCACAAAGCCCCTTTTCACACTTTCCTCCAAAAACCCACTTTCCGACATCATCATCTCACACAAAAACCAAACATCCCCACTAAACGACGATGTTTTCATTGATGACGACAAGCCTCGTGAAGAGTGCGGCGTTGTTGGCATATACGGCGACTCCGAAGCTTCCCGTCTCTGTTATTTAGCCCTACACGCTCTCCAACACCGTGGCCAAGAAGGTGCCGGAATCGTCACCGTTAACAACAACATCCTTCAATCCATCACCGGCGTTGGTCTTGTTTCCGATGTCTTCAACGAATCTAAGCTCGATCAGTTACCCGGAAGTTTGGCTATTGGCCATGTTCGTTACTCGACTGCTGGACAATCCATGTTGAAAAATGTTCAACCTTTCGTTGCTGGGTATCGTTTTGGTTCTGTTGGCGTTGCCCATAACGGTAATTTGGTTAATTATCGCACTTTAAGAGCTAAGCTTGAAGAAAACGGTTCAATTTTTAATACTACTTCTGATACTGAAGTTGTTCTTCATTTGATTGCAACTTCAAAGCATAGGCCTTTTATTTTGAGAATTGTTGATGCATGTGAGAAGCTTGAAGGGGCTTATTCTATTGTGTTTGTTACTGAGGATAAGCTTGTTGCTGTGAGAGATCCTTTTGGGTTTCGACCTTTGGTTATGGGGAGAAGAAGTAATGGTGCTGTTGTTTTTGCTTCTGAGACTTGTGCTCTTGATTTGATTGAAGCTACTTATGAGAGGGAAGTGTTCCCTGGTGAGGTTGTTGTGGTTGATGATAACGGGATTCAATCGCTTTGCCTCATGTCTCATCCGCAGCCGAAGCAATGTATCTTTGAGCATATTTACTTTGCTTTGCCTAATTCTGTTGTTTTTGGTAGGTCCGTGTATGAATCGCGAAGACGATTCGGTGAGGTACTTGCTACTGAGAGTCCTGTTGATTGTGATGTTGTGATAGCAGTTCCTGATTCTGGTGTTGTTGCCGCACTTGGTTATGCTGAAAAAGCTGGTGTTCCTTTTCAACAAGGGTTGATTAGATCACACTATGTAGGAAGGACTTTCATCGAGCCGTCTCAGAAGATTAGGGATTTTGGTGTGAAATTGAAGCTTTCGCCAGTCCGTGCTGTCCTTGAAGGTAAAAGGGTTGTTGTTGTTGATGATTCAATTGTGAGGGGAACAACATCCTCGAAGATTGTGAGGTTGCTTAAAGAAGCAGGGGCAAAAGAAGTTCACATGAGAATCGCATGTCCACCGATTATCGGTTCTTGTTATTACGGAGTCGATACACCTAGCTCCGAGGAGTTGATATCTAATAGGATGAGTATTGAAGAAATAAGGGATTTTATTGGATCAGATTCACTTGCTTTTCTTCCAATGACTAGCTTGCATACTATGTTGGGGAATGACTCTCCAAATTTCTGTTATGCTTGTTTCTCTGGGAAATACCCGGTTGAACCAAGAGAGCTTAAGGTTAAGCGGGTCGGTGACTTCGTCGATGATGGTTTGAATGGAAGTTTGGAACAAATTGACGGAGGTTGGGTTCAAGCTAACCGAAATCCAAAAGAGGTGAATGCTTCTACTGGTGCTTGACCAATTGCTACTTCCTGTTTCTGATTTTGCAGTTCTTAATGTTAAGAGTATCTGTGTGATCTAACCACAGTGGTGAGAGCTCCATTCTGATTTTGAAGACCAATGCTTAATAGTGAAAGTTTCAGATCTGTTGTTTGGAGCTTTTGTTATTTAGAACTAAGGCTAGTAGTGATTTAAGAACTTTACATGTTTTTTTCTTCAAAAACAACTTGTGTAATCCTACAGTTTTGGATTATAGTTTTTTGCACGTTTCGTTTCAATCTCTTCTATTGGTAGGTGAAAGAAAGTGCAATCATCATTTTAACCAAACACAAAATCACATGTTTACTTGGTAAACTAAAATGAACAGTTTAAAAAGATATCTATCAATCTTGCTGCATGAAAGTTAAGTTCAAAAGTTGTCTACACTCATTTTAGTATAGTACTTTGTTTCTAGTGTTTTTACTTTCTTATTTTCTCCTTTTTAAGATTCCATTGATTTTGCCAGAAATTGCATATTCTATTCTATATTCTCTCAACAAACCATGTCCTTGTTTTTATTATTTATGCACTATTATCAATTGAACAAAAGTACTGGCGAAATTCACAGTTGTGAAATTTCCCTCTATCAAGCTTTTTCTATTTATAAAAAAAACCTGTTATAATTTTGCACTTCAATTCAAGGGCAAAGATCAGAATTTAAAAAAAAAAGGTAAGTTAAAATGTCTTAGTCTCTACTGTTTTACTGTTTGGGCCTTTTGTTTTATCCATCACTAAGGAAAAGTTTAGAGCAATAGCTTTTTGGATAATCCTTCTGTCACCATTTTAATTTTTCAGAAACTCTCAAAACCAAAAAAAATATAACAATAGAACACAAAATAAAATAATGGTTTAATATTGTTTTTCGTCCCTTATCTTTTGTGTATCGTTTGTTATGCTCCCTTAATTTAAAATAGGACCTTTTTGGTCGCTCAACTTTTTAAAGTGGTTCACGTTTATCTTTATCGTTTAAAACGTTAGTCAAAGTCAATTGAGATGCAAAGCTGACACACATGTGTATTATTTTTTTATGACATGGCAATGTAATATATAAAAGGGATATGCCTAGATTTTACACACTTGTCTCACACTTGTCTGAAACTCACTCTCTCAAACTAACTTAGTAGAACGATGAAGACGATTTTGACAAAGGAAGTGAAGAATGCAAAAAGAACGCAGAAAGAACGAAGAAAGCACTAAGGCAAGGGATTTCTGAAGAGAATACTGGTAAAGTTCTCTTTCTTCTTTTTAATCTTCATCCATTTCTATTTTAGGATTCATTCTATTTTAGGGTTCATATGTGTTTGCATTTTAGAGTTTGTCATGAATTTAGGGTTTTGTGTACTTGATCTCAAATGTTGTCATTTTTAGGTTTGTTATGAATGAATATGTTCATGTAGTTATACACCATGGGGTTTTTTCGAAGGTGATGATGAGTCAAGTTATGGGGGTTCAGTTGCTGAGGTAAAGTGTGATGTTGATAAGTGAAACTATTTTGAGGTGTTAGGGATTGTTAAAGAACTGAGATATGAGGATGCTGGAACAATAATATACAAGGACCTAACATTTGTTTTGTTTACTTTGACTGATGATAAAGATGCCATAGAGATAGTTGATTTATGTAAGGTACATAAGGTTGTTCATTTGTATGTGAAACATTCAGTTTCTCAACTTGATTATTATGATGGACCTATAAAGGATGAGACTGAAAACATAGTTAAGGATGTAGTTAATGTTGATGAAACTGAAGATGTCATTGGAAAACTGGTTGAAGAAGTTGTCAATGGTAAAGGAGATAATGTAAGTGACTTGAATACGACTGAGGTTGGAGGCACAAACATTGATGTTAATGAGGCTGAGGATATGAGTGAGGGTGAGGTATGAGATAATAATGTTGAGGTTAATGGGGTTGAGTTTATGAGTGAGGGTGAGGTAGGGGATAATAATGTTGAGGTTAATGGGGCTAGGGATATGAGTGATAGTGATGATGTCAGTTTCCAATATGACAGTGCCTTAGATGTTGTGTTTCAAGACTCAGATGAAGACAACGATGGTTTAGTAGAAGAGAATATTACAAATTTGTTGGGTTATGACATAGAGGCGGTAAGTAAAAGTAAAGGAAAAAAAACATAGTGAAGAAGGTGAAGGTGCTAGCAAAAAAGGTAGTGAGGAAGGTGAAGATGAGGGTGTATGTGATAGTGAAGAATTGGAGAGTGGGTGTGAAGCTGATGATGAAAGTAACTGTCATAGAAAGAAGTATCTTGTTTTCAAAATGGCCAAGAACATGTCAGACTACAAATAGAAATTAGGAACCTATTTTGCAACAAAGAATGATTTTAAAGAGGCAATTACTTCATATGTTGTTCAGTCAGGAATGGATTTGAGGTTCTTTAAAAATGATAAACAAAGGGTGCAAATGTTGTACATATACTTTCATATCAGACCAACAGAAGGTACTGAATTTGTGATACTGAGTCTCTCGTATTTATCTTGTATTTATTTTGTGCATGATTATAATCTCTTATATTTATTTCTTAGGGTCTCTTCCCAGCTATGAATGAGCTCTTATCAGGTGTGGAACAGAGGTTTTGCGTATGCCATTTGTACAACAATTTTAGGAAGAGATTTTTTGGAAAGAAGCTGAAAGAGATTATATGGAAAGTTGCTAAGTCAACATGTCCACAATCTTAGGAAAGGGAAATGAGAGAAATGAGAGGTGTTAATGAGGAAGCGTTCAAGCACATGATGAAAACACCTCCTAGGTTTTGGAGCAAATCTCAATTCAAGACAACCTCTAAGTGTGATAGTGTGTTGAACAACATGTCAGAGGTCTTCAATAATGTTATTATTGAAGCAAGAGCTAAGCCTATAGTGGCAATGCTTGAAGAAATCAGAACATACATAATGGAAAGGTGGACAAAAAATAGAATGAGATTTGCAAACCTTACTGATGATGACATCTTGTCCAACATAATGAAGATGTACGGTAGGTTATGTATTAGTATTGGTAAACCTTACTGATAAACTGCTATGTTTTGAGATTTGCAAACCATATTGATGTTTTGGTATTTTATAAATTGTTGGCTATTAGGATTGCAAGGATTAGTGACTACACCAACATGTGGATTGTAAGGTATACTCATAATGTTATGTTCTGTTTACTCATAATGTTATGTTCTATATACTCATAATGTCATGATTGCTGAGATTATGTATTGTTTTCCAGAATGTCAACTGAACATATCTTTGAGGTTAGACACCTTGAAAATGTTGGAGATAAGTTCAGTGTCAACTTGCAAGATCTAAGTTGTACATGTAGGAAATAACAGCTGACAACCTTACCACGTGTGCATGCAATTGCTTCCATGAAAAGCAGAAATTTTAAGGTAGAAAATTACATACCAGATTTGTACAAAAAAGGAAAATATCAGAAGGTATACATCCACGTCATCTATCATGTTAATGGTTCTAACCTATGGGAAAGGACCAGCTACAATGATGTGCAACCAGCAGTTTTTAGAAAAATACCAAGAAGGCTAAAAAAGAAAAGGAATTTGGAGTAAGGTAAAGTTGATGGCTCTGATAGAAAACTAAGGAAGACTGAACTCCTTATTAAATGCAGTAAGTGCAAAAAAAACTGGTCATAACAAGCTTACTTGCAAGCATCTATTAACTCAGACACAACAATCTCAGACTCAGACAAAACAATCTCAGGCTCAGACACAACCAACTCAGGCTCATACACAACCAACTCAGACACAATAATCTCAGACTCATACACAACCAACTCAGACTCATACACAACCAACTTAGGCTCAGACACAACTAACTCAGGCTCAGACACAATAATATCAGGCTAAAGCGAGTGGTTCCAGGACTCCAGTCAAGAAGTTACCCATTAGGAGGCCAACTAGAAGTGTGGGATCACCATGCCCTATAACTAGGTTAACTGCATCAAGGAATGTGGCAGACCCTACAACTGGGCTCACTTCATCTCAAGCGAACAAGAAGAAAAAATAGATATTTCTGTATGATACAATGTTTTGTCCTATATTTTGGTCTGTAATGTCACATATTTTGGTACTATGTTTTGGTACAATGTGTTGTCTTAGGTCTATATTTTGTACTATGTTTTGCTGCTATGTTTTGGTACAGTAGTACATGTTTTAGACTTATATTGGTAATTTGTTGTAAGCCTTATATGAGAATTCTGTTATGACATATTGGTACTATGGTACATGTTTTGCTGTTATGTTGTAAACCTTATATGATAATTCTGTTATGACATATCGGTACTATAATGAAAGACATATTTTACTTATATTCTGTTGTGTTTTAGGCTTATTGAAAGACATATTTTGCTAATATTTCGTTATGTTATGTTTTAGACTTATTGAAAGACATATTTGGCTACATGTTTTAGGCTTATATTGGTACTATATTGAAAGACATATTTTGCAAATATTCTGTTATGTTTTGGTACAAATTATACCAGTTAGGTGATAGACAAATTATAGTTTTTCATAATTTCATTTTGATAGATAAATTATACCATTATAAACAACATACCATGTAATAAACAACATTGCACAATTCCATTTCATTGATATCATAAAACAATATTGTAGAAATACAACTCATTCATCCCATAGAACAACCTTTGGAGAAGTATAATTACATTAACAAATTGTAGATTAATACACTTAAAGCAACAAAAAATGAATTTCTCCAAAATGTCTTCCACTTCATTGTGTTATTGAGAGCCCCCTCAAGTTATTCAATTAATACTTTAAATTTAATCAATTTCTGTTGTAATTCTTCATTATCTTTTGCTAAGCATCCCGACCTCTTTTTTTGATTCTTGATAAACATGTCCCTGTCATCTTTCACTTTAGCACAAAACCAATCAAAATAAGCACATCCATTAGTTGTATTCCCCTGCAGAGATTACATACAACATTACCCACTATGTAAAATCGAAATTGCAAACTTAACAAGATAGACCGTACCTTATAATGTGTACATATCCAAGATTGCTTCCCAATTTTTTTATACTGTTTTTGCCCTTCTGAGTACAACAAAATCACCACACTAACAATTAAGTCTCCATTGATTTTTCGAAGATGAAGAATTAACCCAAGATTCAAAACTATAACTTACATCTCCACTGTACCCAGACCCCTTTTGCAATGAAGCTGAACTTTTATGAGCCATTATTCTTCACAATCGATGTTTTGCAGAGTCAACAAGATATTACAGAAGAAGATGAAGGCATGAACAAGATATTACAAAAGAAGATGAAATCGTGAACAATATATTACAGAAGAAGATGAAGGCAAATGCAAACCCTAATACACATGAACAAGATACGTTCATCATTAAGATGTTTTTAAAGAACTTGTCCTACGTGGAGTTGACATGGCTGTTAATATTTTCACGTTTAACACTGTTAGTGTGTTTTATCTCCAAAGGATAAATGTGGTACATATGATACAGATAAGGGACAAAAATGATCCTTTTAAAAATTAAAGGACCAAAATGAACCCACCCTAAACATACGGGACAAAAAAGGCTATTTTGCCTAAATTAATCTATTAATTCAAACTAAATTCAACAACATAATACATCAATATTCAATCACATAATATATCAATATAGATAAACAAATATAGAGAAAACACAAACAAGATTATATATTGGTCAAACTAGTTACTCTTTCATTGGATTTAATAATGCTCACAACAATTTCTTTATACTTGAGACAAATCAAGTTTGAATAAATAATACAAACGTATTTAACCAAAATAACGTCTAACTCGATCGGTTCCTTGGTACGATATTGATCAAATATTGAGAAAATAAATTTGGAGTTACAAGTTGATAAATTAAACATGATCGTCATCGTTGAATGAAAGACGACAACAGTTATCACTGACCACACTTCTTATATTGCGGTAATTGAGGCAATGATTCATTAGATCAGATTGGTCTTTTTGTAGTAATCTACAATTAGGTTAGAGTTCATTATGATTATGTATGTGTCAAAATGTTCATTGTTTTATGAATGTGAATTTCAAATATATTAAACACATCATTTTATATATGTCCTATTTCCAGTGCATTGCAGTCCACATAAAATGTCAGTGTAATTTAGACTACGAAATAAAAATAAATGGCTTTACAACTTTTAGATTATAGAATGAAAAACAAACCCCCACAACATAAGTTTAAATTATAAAATTCAAATTAAAAAGACATATCTCTATTGTGAAAAAGTGTAATTCAAATTGGTGTAACCAGTTACAGTAGAGGTGTAACCGGCTACCCCTTATAGCAGCAAAAACATCAAACAGAAGTAACATATAACCGGTTAGAGGTTTGATGTAATCGGTTACTACCCTCCATTTTTTATATATTTTTTAAGTCAATAGCATCCTGTAACCGGTTACATGTTTGATGTATTCGTTACATGGTTGAAAATGTTTTTTAGTTGGTTATGATACACTTTTGTACTGTTGTATATATACCTCATGTTAGGTTGTTAATGAAAGACAGTCATTTTCACCCTAATTCTCTCCAATTCTCACTCTCTCCATTATTCTCTTATTCATCATTTTACCTTGTGATTGAGATCTTGAACTAAAATTTTGCATCAAGAGCTTGGTTGTTTGATCGAACACTTAGTATGCAAAAATACTTTCCATCTTCAATGAACGTATCCCTGCAAATCTCCTAATTCTCGATGCGAAGAATTATGACAAGTGTTGCAAATAGATGAATTTGTTGTTTGGTTATTGAGATGTTCTTGAAGTGATCAAGAATGGTATTAATCCATTTTTAGAAGGTGAAACGACTGCATAAATAACTATGCATAAGGAAGAGAAGATGAAATATTTCAGTTTTTTGTATCTTATTTATCAATGTGTTAATACCAACAATTTTGAGAAGGTTGGTGATTGCACATCCTCAAAGAAAGTTTGAGAAATCTTGGAGAAAAGTTATGCAGGAGTTGGTAAAACAAATATGGTGAAGTTACAAATTCATAAGAGGCAGCTAAAATTGATTCAAAAGGAAGAGAAGAAAACCATTAGTGAATTTACTACAAGAATCATAAGATTGGTGAATCAAGTGAAATTTTGCAGAGAGACAATCACTGAGTAGTATATGGTTGGTAAAATCTTGAGATCATTGACATTAAGACTTGATAACGTAGTGGTTGCTATTGAAGAGTCCAATGATCTTTCAACCATGGGCAAAGAAGAGTTGCAAAGTTCTCTTAAGGCTCATGAGTAGAGAATGGAGGATAGGAATGTTGACAAAACAAAAGCTGAAATTACTTTGCAGGCTAGTTCCTTTGGAAAAGACAAAAAGGTGAATGGATAATGGTTCATGAGTAGAGGTAGAGCAAAATATCACAACAATAGTGGAAGAGACTCCCAGAATTCCAACAATTCAACATTCCAAAAGGGTGAAAGTAGATGTTGCACAGATGGTGGATCAAGCAATTGCAGAGGTGGCAAGAATAGAGGAAGATGAGGAAAAAGGAAAGATGATAAGAGCAATGTCCAATGCTATAATTGTCAAAAGCTTGAACATTTTTCTCGTGAATGTAATGCTAACAAGAATGATCCATAAGAAGATGAAGCAAAGTTTTCAAGGCAAGAAGATGATGAGAGTACACTATTGACGATGATTACTAAAGCATAAAACAACACAAGAAAAGGCAATTGTAATCAGTTACTAGCAGAGCGTAACTATTTACCATCAGTTGAAAATGTGATGGTGGCTATACGAGAAAATGCATAATACAACGATAAATGATATATTGACTTTGGGTGTCAAGCGTTGAAAAACAAGGTGAAATTCACAGACAACTTCATACTAGTAGCAAAAAGGATTAATGACGTACCAATCAAGAGGAAGAATGATGATCATTCTTTGATTAAAGATGTGTTGTATATTCTTGAAATCAAGTGTAATCTTTTAAGCGTTGGTCACATGAAAAAAAAGTGGTGAAAGTTATTGATGCAAATGGAAGTTTGATCTTAAAGGTTCATATGACTCAAAACATAACCTTTAAAGTTGAATTGGAAGTAATAAAGCATAAGTGTCTTGCAATGACGGCTAGTAGGGAAGAATGAATATGACACTATAGACTTGGTAATTTGAGTTTCAAGGGTCTCAATGTTGTGCAGAAAAATAACATGGTGACGTGAGGTGACATTGATCAATATACCAATTGAAGTATGTGAAGACTATGTGCAAGCCAAGCAACGCCGATTTATTTTATAATATGAACACATGTTTACAACCAACATGCAATTTT